CAATGGTTAACAACCCCACGAGGTGTCAACACTGTCCTTTCTCAACCTTGGTTTCCCTATCACCAGCTTTCTTGTCCTCTCTTGCCTTCCAGTCCTTGTGCCTGGACTGCTGTGCCTCATTAGTCCCGTTTTGTTTTATGGGGCCGTCCAATACCCTGCTGAGCAGTGAACTTTGGGAGTGACTTCACTTCTGAGCTAAAAGGATGTCCAGGGACCATACACGCGGGGCTTCTCTGGTCTGTCAGGCCAGTAATTCTGGTCTCTTCTTGTGAGTTAGAATTTCGTTCTACCTACTTCTCCAGCTCTGTCCAGGACACTGTATTGTGATCCCTGTCAGAGCAGTCAATGGTGGTAGCCAGGAACCATCTAGCTGTACTTGACTCTGTCTGGTGGAGGCCGTGGTAGCTGTGGTCAACTAGTCCTTTGGATTAATCTGTTCCTTGTATCCTGTTCTCTTCATTCTCCCTTGCTCCCAAAGGGGTGAGACGACTGGAGTATCCCAGAAGGCTGCCAACAGGCTTTTGAGACCCCAGATGCTACTCACCAAAGTAGAATGTAGAACATTGTCTTTATAAACTGTGTTATGCTAATTGAGCTAGATGTTCCTCAAGACCATGGTCCCCACAGCCCTCTGCCCAGCAATTCAGTCCCTCAGGGAGTTTGGATGTGTTTATGGAGCTCCCATGACCTTTCCCTGTACAAGTTGTGCTGGTTTCCCCAGTACTGTGTACTGTCTTACCCTTCACCAAAGTTAACACTTATCTATTGTGTATTTAGTTCCCCCTCACCACTCCTCCCATCCCTCATAACCAACAAAGATTGTTTCTTTTTGTGTGTAAACTTTTACATGAGTTTTTACATTAGAGGTCTCATACAATATTTATCCTTTTGTGATTGACTTATTTCACTCAGCATGATGTTCTCCAGTTTCATCCATGTTATGAGATGCTTCACAGATTCATCGTTGTTCTTTATCGTTGCATAGTACTCCATTGTGTGTATGTACCATAGTTTGTTTATCCATTCATCTGTTGATGGGCATCTAGGTTGTTTCCATCTTTTTCTTATAGTGAACAATGCTGCAATGAACATGAGTGTGCATATGTCTATTTGTGTGACGGCTCTTATTTCTCTAGGATATATTCCTAGGAGTGGGATTGTTGGATTGTATGGTATTTTTTTTTCTAGCTTTCTAAGGAAGTGCCATATCATTTTCCAAAATGGTTGTATCATTTTGCATTCCCATCAGCAGTGCATAAAAGTTCTGATATCCCCGCAGCCTCTCCAACATTTGTTATTTCCAGTTTTTTTGATATGTGCCAGTAATGCCGGGGTGTGAAGGTATCTCATTGTGGTTTTAATTTGCATTTCTCTAATGGCTAGTGATCGCTAGCATTTCCTCACGTGTCTGTTGTCTGCTGGAATGTCTTCTTTGGTGAAGCATCTATTCATTTCCTTTGCCCATTTTTTAATTGGATTATTTGTCTTTTTTTGCAAAGGTGTTGGATTTTCTTGTGGATTTTAGAGATTAGACCTTTGTCTGACTTGTAATGTCCAAAAATTTTTAGGTTCTTTTTTCACTTTTTTGGTGAAGTCTTTTGATGAGCATAAGTGTTTAATTTTTAGAAGATCCCAGTAGTCTAGTTTATCTTCTGGGGTTTGTATGTTGTTATTTATGGTCTGTAACCTGTTAATGCTGTGTATTATCGCCTCTAGCATTAATCCTATTTTTTCTTCTATGAACTTTATACTTTTCGGTTTTATATTTAGGCCTTTGATCCATTTTAAATTCACTTTTGTGTATGGTGTGAGGTATGGGTCCTGTTTCATTCTTTTGCAGATGGACATCCAGTTTTGCCAGCACTATGTGTTAAAAAGATTGTCTTTTCCCCGTTTGATGGACTTTAGGCCCTTGTGGAAGATCAGGTGACCTTAGGTAGATGTGTTTACATCTGGGTTCTCATTTCTGTTCCACTGGTCAATGTATCTGTTGTACCAGACCAGTACCAGGCTGTTGAGACACCACAGCTGTATAGTAGCTTCAGAGGTCAGGTAGTGTGAGTCTTTCTACTTTATTCTTCTTCTTCAATAGAGTTTTACTTATCTGGGGCTTCTTTCCTTTCCATGTAAAGTTAATGATTAGTTTTTCCATCTCTTTAAAGAATGTTGTTGGTATTTGGATTGGGATTGCATTGTATTTGTAAATTGCTTTGGGTAGGATTA